TCTCTCATGCCGAGTAGGCTGTCAGGGGATGTGCTGTGCTGGGCTCACTCAGTCGTGTCCTACTCTTTGTGACCTCATGGACTGCAGCCCGCCAGGATCCTCTGTCCATGGGATTTCCCAGGCAATAATACTGGAGTGGGTTGCCATTTTCTCCTCCAGGGAATCTTCCTGACCCAGGGAAGGAACCCTCGTCCCTTGTGTCTCCTGGATTGGCAGATGGATTCTTTACCACCGATCCACCGAGGAAACCCCATCAGGGGATTGCTAGATAAACTTTTTTGTGCAGTTTGTCAACAGAAAATATCTCAGAGCAGGTTTGGGGAGGGCAGAGGAATAATAGAAAGGATCCTTTTGGTGAAAAATTTTGAGTTCAGAGGTTGGTGCAACTTCCCCAAGTCGCATGCTTAAGTCAGGGGAAAGCAAGGGCCCTGGGGCCCCAACAGCGAGACCATTTCTCTTTCCCTGGAAATGCCCCAGGGATGGTGGGGAGGTTGACAGAGCTTGACAGTGTTCAGTCCCTCACTTCTGCCACCTAGTTCCTTCCTGCCTCCTCCCTATGGCTTTTAAACTGTTTGCAGGCATCCAACTTCCATTTCAGAAGTCCACCTGGGCGTCTCAGCAGGACCTGTCCTGGAAACACTTCATACGTCATGCAGGTGTGAGAGGTGTGGGTGTGGGAAGGCTTGCTGGAGATGAATCAGCATTGTCTTCTGCCTGAGTCAGGAGCAGGGGTGGGCAAGTGCTGGCCGACCCAGACCCGAGGGAGGGAAAGAAGAGCGGGGAGACCAGCCTGCAATGACACGTCTCAACCACCAGGGGGCATGAACAAGACGGGGAAAACCCAGGAGTTGCTGATGGGAAACCTTTGGCGCCTGGAACCACGCCCAGGGGAAAGAGGACACCCAGCTTCCCAAGCCGGGCATGGGCTCAGTCACTGCCAGGATGTGCCCACTGCCTGCTTGCGTCCTGGCTTCTCTGCCTTCATGAAGAAGTGGAGAGAGTAGAATGGAACTGGACTTTGAGGGGTCAGCCTATCCAACTCTCCTGTACTGCAAGGGGGAAGGAATTACTCTAGATTACCCAGCAAGTTAGTGGCAAATTACTGTGATTTTCATTCAGTTTCAGGAATATGGCTCCTTGATGGGCACAGCCCTGGTCTCAGTTTAGGGACAGGTGTCCAGATGCTGCTCCTAGCATCAGAGGCGCTCTCTCTTATCTCTCTGGTCTTCCCTTTTTCCCTCACACTTTCTGTGACACTGTTTTTCTTTGACTTTTTCTCCCAGTTTCTGTCTGACTGCCTCTTCGTCTCTTCCTCCGTCCGCCTCCTGTCTCCATCCCTGCCCACTGGGGACTTTGCTGTGCTCCTTCCCTCAATGGGTCCCCAGAGCAAGACATTTCCCGCAGTCACTCCTCAGGGACTCATAGCTCTCTGAAGCTCTGTTTTCCAACCCAGTGTCTCAGTTCCACTCCTGGGAGCAGGCAGAGAAGTTATGATTTGGTAGCATAATCAGTGATGTGATTTGGGGAGGTGGGAAGGCTCCCGGGTACTGTCCCCAGCACCCCACCCCCTACGGTGCCAACCGTAAGCTCGGGATGGCACCTGGTGTGGGCAAGACCCTTTGCTCATGCGCTCCTGCCCGGTGAGTTCACCACGTGGGAGTGAGGGCGAGAGAAGACAGGCGCACGAGTGATTCAGTCGAGATCAGAATGCTCTGAGCACAAAAGGAGTGCTTGATGTGGGACAGAGCAGGTGGAGGCAGACTCTGGTTAGCCCTGGGGCGGCTCCGTGAGGCGAGGGCATTGAACTGGCCTTTGAAGGATATGTGGGACTTCAGGAGGCAGGGATGTGGTGAGTGGGCACATTCTGAGCAGAAGGATGGGCATAGGCAGCCTCGGCCACTCCAGGGGCTCAGGCACAGTGAGCAGGCAGTTAGGAGACGTGCAGGAGAGGTTGGATATGCAGCTAGGGGCCAGAGCCCGAGCACCTCACTTCCAGCAAGGGCCATGGGAACGCCACTGCAGTTTCTGAGCAGAAGTGCCATCTGCCGAAGTCCATCAGTTAAAATGGAAGAAGTGTTGTAAAAAGCAATGCATTGCACCCCACTGATCCTTACCCTCGGGGAGAACAGTTTTTATTCCAAGCTCGACCTGAAATAGGTTTTGACAGGGAAGAGCAGTAGCACATAGGGGCCACGTGCCTTGGGGAGGAAGGACACTGGGTGGCTTTGCAGAGGTGTAGGAGGGGGTACTGGGGGCCCCCGAGGCCTGATTTCATCTATGCTGCTCAGGCTGCCCCCAAGTCCTACTACGAGTGACCTCCAGGCAAGGTCACTCAAGCAGCCTGGCTTGACGTCTGATCCTCTGTGGTTTCTCAGCCTGAGTTTCTCTGTGGTGTCATGACCCAAAACTCCCCAGAGTGGGCCTGATGAGGGGGTCTCTGTTCCAGGGCCCTGTCTGCCAGAGCTGGGTTGGGGTTTCCGCCTGCTGCCCAGTGACTTCGGCTGCCCTAGCCCTGGGGGAGGAGGGCGGTGCCGCTGAGTCACTGCCTGAGCCTCTGGGCCTGGAACCGAGGGTGAGTCACCTCGGACTCGGGCCGCTGGAGGAGGGGAAAGAAGCTGGTGGACATCTGGAGGGGGGAGGGGAGCTGGCACACAGGAAGGGCGGTGCCCGGACTGGATTGAGGCAGTAGGCAAGGGGGCCTGGGAAGGGGCCGCGTGAAGTCTGCTCTTCTCTGAAAGGCCCTCCCCTGGGCTGGGTCCTAAAAGGCCTCAGTGTTTGCCTTTCTCTGGGGAGGGGCCTGGACGAGTGGGTGAGCGAGGCCGAGGCTGTGGCCTCATCCCTGGCCTGGCCTCCTGGCTTGGGAAGCTGTGCGGGCCCCCTCCTCACCTGCCCACCTCCCGACCTGGAGGAGACTCGCGTTTTCTCCTCCCTGCAGCCCTCCTGGGCCTTCCTTACACACACAGCCTGCTGCTCACCCCAGCTGACTATAGCAGAGCCATCTCCACCTCACTGCCTCCCTGTCTCCTCCCAGACCCCTTCCTACCCGAAGGGGGCCTTTCCAGGTCTTTTAAAGCACACCCACTTGCCTTGGTTCATCACTGAAAGTTATTCTGGGGCCGGCTATTAAAAGTCACTGTTTCCCTCATTCCCTGCGGTCACCCCTGCCCTCTTCTTCCTGATAGCCCCCAGCTGCCTGCTGGTTCCCAGCACACACACAGGCCCGTGAAGTCCCAGCACGCACTGGCAACTTCTGGCCCGACAGTGAACTGTGACTCGCAGGCATTTGTCATGAGAACAAGGCTGGGCCTGAATCTCCAGGCCCCTGTGAACAGGGGCGGCCTCCCCTCGCCCAGGGCCCAGAATACCTTTTCCCGTGACACCTCCCGCTCCCGCTGTGGCCAGGGTGGGGCCGGGGGAGGCGCTGCCCTTGGCCGCCCAGGAAGGGAGGGACTGGGAGGGGGTGTGAGGGGGTGGCAGGAGGCCAGGCTTTGGCGGGATCAGGTTAGGGCAGGTTTGGTTTCCTTAAAATGCAAAGTTGGGGGCCAGTGGGGCTAGCATATAAATTCCAACTCTGGGCATCTGGCCCTTTGCTTTCCTTCCTGAGTCTCTCTCTGCTCTCTGGTCTGGTGAGTACCTCTGTCCTGGGCAAGACCCCCATGGGTTTCTGCCTTTGTCCCTTTGGCTTTTTTTTTTTGTAATGGATTTTTATTGGAGCAGAGCTGATTTACAGTGTTGTGTTAGTTTCTGCGGTATGTCCCCTTTGCTCTTGTCTCCTGGTTCCTTGGTGGAAGGCCCGGGGCCTCTGTGGGTCTCTGCACTTGGGGGGGACCTTCTCTCCAATGTGTCAGATAGAGGCTTTTTCCCAGTTCCTCTGTGAGGTTTAGGGGTTACTCTTGTGCTGTGTCTTACGTCTTTCAGCCTGAGTGTTGGTCTAGAGGTACTGCTTGGGGGTTTGGGCCTAGGCATATGAAGTGTGTGTGGTGGTGGGAGGATGGGGGGGGTGCTTTAAGGAGAATCCTGGGTTTGTTTGTTTTTTTTTTTTTTAAAAGTCCTGGATTCCAGCAGGACAAAGAGCCAAGGATCTCAAGCGAATGGGCCTGCCTGTGTCCCTGCCCTGAGCAGCGGCATAGCTATGCTGCGTCGGTCTTCTCCCACCTCCTGAGGGCAGGGCTGGCAGGATGGGCCCAGGGTGTTTCTTGCCTCTGGCGCCTGCTCCTCCAGCCTCACCCTGGGACCTGCCTAATCCTCCCAGGGTGGTGTGACCGCTCTGAGAGGCAGGGCCTTGGAAAGGATGACCTCCAAATTCTGCCCTTGGTCTCAGATTCTGTCCTGATCCTGGGGTACTGGGCTTTTGATTTCTTGAATTCCCGTCCCAGGAGAATCCTTCCTGTTAGGGAGAGTGTTCAGTTGCCAGCACCCCTGCCCCGGTGCCTCCAGCGTGAGGGGAGACACAGTCCCTAGCTGGTGAGAGCCCCTGGTCTGACGGAGGATACAACCTACCCAAGGGAGCTTTCAGTTAGATGGGGAAGTCACTCCTCAGGGAACCTCGTACCCCTGGGCTGTACCCAAGGCCGCTGCCAGAGCCCAGAGAGCACCACGAACTAGCACGTGCAGACTCCTGTCTCCCCAGCCCTGGCACAGAGCCCACTGGCCTATGATAGAAGCTGACAGAAAGGATCCCCAATGGGACTCTGGCCACCCTGCCGTTTTTTGTTTTTTGTTTTTCCCCCATAGACGCTCTGGGCCCCAAGTATGATGGGAGGAGACATGGGGCCCTTCCAAATACAGGGAAAGGTCTAGTCTCTGCCTCGCCCACCTAGTGTGAGACGGAGGTATGGCTTCTGGCCAGGGAGCCGCAGGCTGAGGAGGAGACACAGCCCTGCCTGCCCATTCAGAGAGGGACTTGGAGAGGCAGCCTGGGGCTCAAGGGCAGCAGACAGTCCTGCAGGCTGGGCTGAGGCATCTCCCTCATTTGCCACCCCTGTAGCCTTGGATCCAAGATGTCCAGTCCCCTGGAGCAGGCGCTGGCTGTGATGGTCGCCACCTTCCACAAGTACTCTGGCCAAGAGGGAGACAAATTCAAGCTGAGTAAGGGGGAGATGAAGGAGCTTCTGCACAAGGAGCTGCCCAGCTTTGTGGGGGTGAGTGGGGCTGGTGGGGGTGAGAGGGGCCTGGTGTACGGGGTGGGGGCCCAGGGCGAATCTCTCCTCCCTCCCTGGGTGGGGGTGAGTGGGGCTGGCCGGGGTGAGAGGGCCCTGGGGTACGGGGTGGGGGCTCAGGGCGAATCTCTCCTCCCTCCCTGGGTGGGGGTGAGTGCGGCTGGCCGGGGTGAGAGGGTCCTGGGGTACGGGGTGAGGGCCCAGGGCGAATCTCTCCTCCCTCCCTGGGTGGGGGTGAATGGGGCTGGCCGGGGTGAGAGGGCCCTGGGGTACGGGGTGGGGGCTCAGGGCGAATCTCTCCTCCCTCCCTGGGTGGGGGTGAGTGCGGCTGGCCGGGGTGAGAGGGTCCTGGGGTACGGGGTGGGGGCCCAGGGCGAATCTCTTCTCCCTCCCTGGGTGGGGGTGAGTGGGGCTGGAGGGGGTGAGAGGGGCCTGGTATACGGGGTGGGGGCCCAGGGCGAATCTCTCCTCCCTCCCTGGGTGGGGGTGAGTGCGGCTGGCCGGGGTGAGAGGGGCCTGGGGTACGGGTTGGGGGCCCAGGGTGAATCTCTTCTCCCTCCATGAGCGGGGGTGGGGGGGGTGCTGGGGACCCAGACACCAGGGTGGGGTCAAGCCTTTTATGACCTCACCAGAGTGAGAGTGAAGGCTTTGTGTGAATGCCTTAGTGGGTATGCCACTGCTGGCTCCTCCCTGCAGCTTTCCAGAGAACGGATGTGCTGTCAGAGCCCAGAGAGGGGAAGTGACTAGCTCAAGGTCACACAGCTCTCATTTGTGATCTTCTCTCTCTTCCTCCTTCCATCCTCTCCGTCTTTTGTTTTTCATATTTACTTGCCAAACTAAGAAGGTGTCTAGGGAGAGAAAAGCTCAGCGAAGACACACCCTGAGATGTTTTGGAGAGAAATGCCATCAGTTCTCAATTTGCCCCTTGCCCTCCCTTTAGTCACCTCCTCATGTGTGCTCATGTGCTCAGTTGTGTCTAACTCTGCAACCGTGTGGACTATCGTCTGCCAGGCTCCTCTGTCCATGGAACTCTTCAGGCCAGAATACTGGAGCAGGTTGCCGTTTCCTACTCCAGGGGATCTTCCTGACCCAGGGATCGAATCTGAGTCTCTTATGTCTCCTGCATTGGCAGACGGATTGTTTACCACGCGTGCCACTCCCCCTCCGCCCTACCAAAAAAATATTTATTTGTTTGGCTGCACTGGAGTGAGGACAGAGGGAGGTACATGGGCAGGAAGGTCCAGCTCTCCACCTCCTTCCACAGGCCAGTGGGCTCTATGCCAGTGCTGCGGAGATGAGCATCTCCCTGGGCTGGTTAGTGGGGCTCACTGGGCTCCGGCAGTGGACTTGGGTACAACCCAGGGGTATGAGGTTCCTTGAGAGTGCATGGGCGGGAGTCTTAGTTGTGGCATGTGGGATCTAGTTCCCTGACCAGGGATTGAATCCAGGGCCACTGCACTGGGAGTGTGGAGTCTTAGCCATTGGACCAAATCCCAGTGGAGTCTTAGCCACTGGAATAAATCCCAAAGTCAGATCTCAGGCTTTGAACATACGAGGCGTGTCCTTTTTTCTTAAAAAAATTTTTTTGATCATACTTTCCTAATTTGGTTTCATTTTATCTGGTATGGGAAAGAGTCTGCCTTTTTGGAATTCATTTTTCTGGTGATGAGGCATGGTGGTGGCTTCAGAAAGCTTGAGTTTCCTCATCAGCAGGATGTGGGTAATGCCCATCTCGCTGGGCCCTTGTGGGGAGCAGAGCTGATCCTATGAAGGGAGGGTCTGGAGATCCCCCAGCAGGGAGAGCTGGAGACTCTGGCTCATGCACTTCCCTGTGTCCCCACTCACAGGGCACCCTAGTGCTCCCAGGACCTCCCTGCTCACCATCAGTCCCAGATGCTCCCTGCTTACCACGTACCTGCTGCCCAGGGAGGAGGGGAAAGCTGGGTTCTGCCCCATGAGAGCAGGTGGCCTGACTGTCTCTTGCTTTCAGGACAAGGTGGATGAGGAGGGCCTGAAGAAGCTGATGGGTGATCTGGATGAGAACAGTGACCAGCAGGTGGACTTCCAGGAGTATGCCGTCTTCCTGGCCCTCATCACTATCATGTGCAATGATTTCTTCCAGGGCTCCCCAGCGCGGTCCTGATGCAGAGCTTGTGGCTCCCTGCTGTGGGTCTCTTCAGCCAGGGAGGACTCTCTATCTTTTTTAGTTTTACTCAATAAACTGTTTTTGCCGGTTGACAGTATTTTCATTGCTCAGTGCTGCCCTGTCACCTGGCTGGCCCAGGTGCTGTGCTGAAAGTTAAAGACCTAAAGCTGCTTTTCGTGTGAGCTGTCTTTATCCCTTTCAGTGCAAGATGATACAATTCCTTTAAAAATGTTGTGGGTTTCCTGTGTATCAACTTACAAGTTCAGTTAGCCAAAAGCCACATTTATAAATCTCTTTGAGACTGGCCCTTTCCACCTTAGAGTCAGGGTGCTGGGAGAAAATGTCCTTATGATTCTTAAAGACCCTCTTGTCTGAAAGGGTCAAGAAGACACACTATTAAAATTATTAGAAGACATACTATGTATCTGAGATCTGAGACTTGCCCTTAAATCTTTTTGAAGCCCACATGAAATTTCTCCCCTTTGACTTTATCTTACCCTGAGGCCTGTTTCCTTGGCAGGCCCAAGGATTTGATCTTGGCCCCAAGGCCATTTATTACTTTGAGAGCCATTTGTTGTCTGGGAAGACTGTCTGGGGCTCCCCTGGTGGCTCAGAATGTAAAGAATCTGCCTGTAGTGTGGGAGACCCGGGTTCAATCCCTGGGTCAGGAAGATCCCTGGAAGAAAGGAATGGACACCCACTGCAGTATTCTTGCCTGTAGAATCCTGTGGACAGGGGAGCTGGTGGGCTAGAGTCCACGCAGTCGCAGAGAGTCGGACACAGCTGAGCAACTAACATGAACTTGTACTACAACTGCTCTGGGCCCTCTATATTTTCTCTAAATTCTACTCAAATTGAAGAGCTCCTTTTCTTTGGCTGAACCATGAAGCATGAAGGATCTTAGTTCCTCCACCAGGGATCAAACCCATGCCCCCTGCAGTGGAAGCGAGGAGTCAAAAAGAGTTTTAATGATAAAGAAAGAGGGGATGGAGAGTAGACAAGTCATAGACAATATTTCTGTGAATTACTTTCTTACTTTTCTCACTTCCCTGGGAAGCTCTGATGCTTGGGAACTGCTTACAGAGTAGCTCAGACAGAAGCTCCCCCAAAATAAGGAGTGAGAAGGTTCTGGGACATCCTGCTTTTTCTCACTGTTCTGCTTTAACTGCACATCTGGGGATGGTGCTGGGCAAGGCTGGGCAGGCTGAGCAATGAAAAGAGAGGAGCCCATTTCCTAATACCCTGTAGGAAAAGGAAAAGTGGTATTCACCTGTATTAGGTCAGGGATGTATGATAATCATAATTAACATTTCCACAGCAGTTCCCAAAGCTGCTTTCATGCACACTGTTTCTTCAGCCCCATGGTAACCCCCAGAGAACTATCATTAGGCCTCTTTTACAGATAAGGAAATCGAGAGGAGGAAGCGTCTGCCATTCAAGGCGCTCTCGTTTTTGGCCAGGCTCTCTGATAGGCCTGTGCGGGCAGCACCCCACTGACTTTTCACAGCAGTTGTGTGAGGGCTGTATTACTAGTTTCCACATTTCAGAGAGGAGGACACAGGGGCTGGGAGAGGTTAAATACCGGCTTCCCCGCTGGCCCAGTGGTAAAGGATCTGCCTGCAATACAGGAGACATGGGTTTGATCCCGGTGTCACGAAGATTCCCTGGAGTAGGGAATGGTTACCCATCCCAGTATTCTTGCCTGGGAAATCTCATGGACAGAGGAGCTACAGTCCTTGGGATTGCAAAAGAGTCAGACGTGACTTAGCGACTGAACAGCACCAACAGAAGGTATACAGGGAGCACTTCTGGAAGTTGCCCCAGGTCTGCGAGAAAGGGTCTCCTGCTTATGGGACATGCAGGGAACAGCCTGGGCCTTCCTCTCCTTCCTCTTGGGCTTTGTGTGAGACAAAGGGGACCTGGATGGGCAGAGTCCAGATGCTCTTGGTCTCTCGATCCTGAAGACATGGGGAAGTGGGCCCACTTGTTGGTGATCGCATGACCGTAGTGTGACTGTTTTCAGTGTATCCTGGTTTCTGCTGGCGCTCTGTCTCAGATTCTGGGGCTCTTTGGGCTGGTGGAGACTGGCCATGGTTGGCTGCCTCTGGAGCTGTCCCCCGACCGGCTAGGCCCTGAATGGGACAAATTTCTTTCTGTGTATTTGACAAACTAACTAACACATGAGTTTCCTAGCTGGTCTCAATAATCTTCCCTCATCCCACTGCTCCCTGCAAACCTCTGTGCCAAGGCGGAGAGCAGGAGGGTCTGGAAAACCGTGCTTGCTATTCAGGGGCCTGCTGGCCAGATTCTCTCTCACTTTCTCCTGGAATTAGGGCAGGGAGCAGGACCTCAGGGAAACATATCTCCCCTTCCACTGTGTCCCACTGCGATTCTGCTCTTTGTTCTTCAAGGTCTGTCCTGCAAGAAAAGAGGGACAGAAGGCAAAGTTGGATTCTGAGACAGAGTAAAATTCAGTTCAGTTGCTCAGTCATGTCTGACTCTTTGCGACCCAATGGACTGTAGCACTCCAGGCTTCTCTGTCCATCACCAATTCCCAGAGCTTGCTCAAACTCATGTCCATCGAGTCGGTGATGCCATCCAACCGTCTCATCTTCTGTTGTTCCCTTCTCCTGCCTTCAATAGGAGTGACCCAAATAAGGCTCCCAATGCTCCCACCTTTAGGTCACTAGAACTCTTCACCAACTCAGGGCTCCCATCCAGGAAATGGGCACAGTCAGGCATTCACTAGGCACTCAAGAGAGGTAGTAGGTCTAAACTCTACAGATTCTCTTTGATCCCAGTTCAGATTCTCTCCCCACCCCCTTTCCCTAATTCTGTAGCAAAGGCCTCTCTGGCTCCAGCCTTCGTAAATCAAATATCCCTTTCCACACTCTCTCCACACTGGGCTCAGATGATGAGAGAGAGGAGATGAGTCAGTTTGAGGAGGTTCATTGACCCCCACCGGGCTATGAGACTGGGGGTGGGGGCGTCACCCTGTCCCTTGGGCCCAGGTCCTTGTGGCACAAGCACAAGAATGTTCGGATGCTCCAGGACATTTCATCTTATTTCTCCCTGAGATGCGGAACCAGACACTGACCTTCAGGGGGAAAGGGGGTTTCCCAGAGGCCTTTGTAAGGTGAAGGTGGTGATAGTGGGGGACCGAGGCAAGGAGGGAGGCGAGATGGAGAGGAGGGACAGTCCTGCCAGGTCAGAGAGCATCTGCTTCTCTTCCTGCCACCTCCATCGAGTGGGGGATTTTGCGTGCAGTTGCTGAATTAGATGCAGGGCCCTCCGCTCTCACACACTCCACAGGACCTTCAAATGATATGAAGAACTTTCACACTGAAGTCTCAGGGCAGGAATCTTCCAGATCCCCCCCCCCCCCAAAAAAAAAAATCAAGACCCAAACAAGCTAAAGGACAGGCTCGAGGTGGAGGGAGGAGGGTGGAGGAGCTCAGAGTGAGGGCTCAGTGAAGGGGTCTTCTCATGACGGTGCTCCAGCCCCAAAGCACCTCCTCCCAGACCTTCCCGTCCACCCGCCCTCCCCTCAGCTGTCACCTCCTAGGGTGAGCTCCTGCCTGCCTCCTTCTGGGCAAACAAAGCGGTGGAGTCCCAGGGAGGTGCAGCCAGGCTGAGAAACAGGAAGGGCTGGGGGATGAGGGCTCAGACTGGGAGAGCTCAGACTGGGAGGGTAACCTGATGAGGGCTCAGGTTACCCGGCTCTTCCTTGACCACTCAGATAAAGTACCCCAGGCCCCACCACTGTAGCCCTGCTTTCTTGCTCTTCCTTGCATTTATGTTACCCATCTATCATACATGTTTGTTACTGTCTGTTGCCTGCGTTAGAGGGTCCTTCCCACAGAACTTGGATTTTGTCTGTTTTGTTTATGGCTATACCTCCAATGCCTAGGAGAGGTGCTTCTATATATTCACATGAGGACTTCTTGGTGGTGCAGTGGATGGGAATCCACTTGCCAATGCAGGGGACACAAGTTTGATCCCTGGTCTGGGAAGATTCCACATGCTATGGAGCAACCCAGCCTGCGTGTGCCTAGAGCTCGTACTCTGCAACAAGAAAAGCCACCGCAATGAGAAGCCCTCACACTGCAATGAACAGCAGCCCTCAATCCTCACAGCTAGAGAAAGCCCACTGTGCAGCAATGAAGACCCAGCACAGCCAAAAATAAGTATACTTAAAAAAATAAAATAATTATTGACATGAGTAATGAATGGCTCTTACCCTGTCATAATTAGTTGTGTGACTTGGGCAAGTTACCTACCTCTCAGTTAACATTTACATCCTTACCAGGTGCCAGCGTGCCAGGGCTATTTGTCTATGAGCTGTGTACCTGTTAACTCATTTATGCCTCACAGCAATCCTATGAAATGGTGACCATTATTTTCCTTGGTCATCCACAGATGATGAAAGTGAGGCCCGGAGAGGTAAGGTGATCTGCTTAAGGAAGGCGGCTGCTCGTGGCATACCTGGGCTGGCAGAGGTGGGAACAAGTGCTTGACCCAGAACTGAATTAATCGCTGGTCCCCACTGGGCCCCTGCTTCTGTCCCCTACTCCCCATAACTCCTTGCCTATAAAACAGAGATAATCACAGCCCTCCCTTCCCTGCCCTCCCACTGCCTGCTTCCCTCATCTAAAGGAGCTGAGTCTTCAGGGAGCTGATGGCAAGGTTGAGCTTCAGGTGCAAGGGGGTTCAAGGGAAGCCAAGGTGTCATGAACTCTCTGGCTGCCCCATAGTAAGCATTAGGATTTCTTCCCCATTCCACACTCTTCTGGATCTTGAGTTCTCTTTCTGAGAAATGAGGAGGGGTCTCCCGGGCCCAGGAATCAGGGGAGGGAGGAGAGAAGTGATATAAAGGGATTTCCATTTCTGGTAATATGGTGATCTGTGCTGGTTCCAGCTAAAAACAACAAAAAGTGCTGGAGAGAATAAAAACAGCTTTTCAAAGCTTTAAAGAGCTCACAAGGCGGTAAGGAATG